AGTTCATGGATATTTACATCCGAGAAATTCTTCAGTCTTCATAACTTCCCCTGCCATCATTAAGATGCAGACGACTTCAAAATTGCACAACTCAACTTGTAAACGCGCGTCGGGATGACCCTGGCTCTTTATGGAGAAACTCATAAAGTCTCCACACCTTGGCAGTTGGATGGAATATAGATTTGAAGATAACATTTTGAGAACTTATGGGAATCCACCTCATCTGGACTATATGCTCCAATCTTTACTTTCAACTGTGGTCCACTTCCCTTCATCCTTCATTACCACACCCTGAAATTATAGTTATTCTTAAGAACACGGACGTACATTCTTATACACCAAGTTGTTTTTTGCATATTGTATTCCAAGCCCATGCATGCAGAAAGACAATTACTATTCTAACTCCAGCTCACTGAGTATGCAATCTAGGCTTATTATTCCCCTGGTTCTCATCCCATTCACACCCCATATGTCTTGGAACAGCAATAAATGGAGAGCAAAGTTTTTCAGGACATGAAGAAAGGAAAGACATGCTGAAATGTCAACCAAAGAAGGAGAGATTGGGTGAAGATAGGTTATGGAGCTTTCATCTTTGAGGGTTGAAAGATTTCACTTTCTTAGATCCATTTCTTCAGTTGTGATCCCTTGGGTCTAATGGAAAGCTATAATTTTTGGAAGGCTCACTTCTATAAAAGCTCGTGCTTGTAGAGAAAAATCAAAGTTTGTAGGCCCATGAATGAATCATTGCCTAAAAAGTCTCTTTGGATATTTAGTGTCTTATAAAATGTAACAGAAGAGACTCCTGTAGCTTTAGAGCCAGGAAGATCCTGGACCATGTGGTCCAGCCCAGGCTTTTAATGATGAGACTACTGAGGTGGGGAGGCTGAGTGATTTAATCAGGTTGCATGGCCACTGAGAGGAGAAGAGAGACTGGACTAGAAGAAACCTATTAACTCTCAAGCCAAAATGATTACACATTACTAATCACCTGGAAACATAGTGAGTCAAAGTATGAGCCATGTATCATAAATGAAAGAATCATTTTAGCCATAGAAGAGGCCTTAGAGGTCACCGGGCGCCATCTTCCTCCTGATGCAAAAGTCCTGTTGGTGGCATCCCTGACAGATGGCCACTAGTCCTAGCTTCATTCCAGTACCAAGAAACTCAGTATTTCATAAGGCATTTTGTTTTGTCTTTGGATACTAATAAATTTAACCTGGAAAAGGTTAAACTTGTATCTTTGAATCATTGACCCAGGGGATTGAGGGTAGCCATAACTGAGTGGCCTAGTGTAGGTGATGGTGAGGAGTTTTATTCTTTTTCTCATCTTAAAAAGAATACAATGATGCCTACCTTGTAGGGTCATTGTGAAGATCAGAGATGTGGTTTGTAAAGAATGAATCTACCATAGTGGTTGCTTTAAAGTAGGTACCCAAATTGTAGTTATGATTGACTTCTCTTATCATAATTCCATGTCTTGAAATCATGTCCTCTGGAGCAATGTAGACTGTGTCTAATCCTGCAAATATTTGAAGGCAGTTAGCATGACCCTCAAAGTCTTCCCCTCTTCAGACTAAATATTCTCTGATTCTTCTGCCATTCTTCCTGCAATGCATTTTGGATGCCGTCTTGCTTTCATTCTCTCCTGTTTGTCAATTTCTCCCTTAAAATGTGGTGGCCAAATGTGGTCAGTCCAACATACTCTGCAGTGGAATAATTACTTCCCTTGATCGAGATGTTTCACTTCTCCTAAAACAACCTAGATTTATGTTAGCGTTTTTGGAGGCCAGATCACACAGTTGGCTCAAGGAAAACCTGATTCTGCTCTCCAGAACACTGGCTCTGTCTCCCAACTTTGTGTCAACTGCAGATTTGACAAGCACAATTTTTACATTTTCATCCAAGATGTTGATAAAGATGTTCAACAAGAAAAGGCCAAAGGTCAAGCTTCCAGGAACACCTGATTCTTCTCTGCATATGACATCCATCCAGTGTCATCCATTTGGTGACATTGCTTCAACAGCTTCAAATGTACCCACCTGGACTAACAAAAATAACTCAGCAAGATCTACTCATTCTTTGTGTTTTTGAAATTGGATATTTAATTTTTCTGGAGGTAAAATGCTATTCTTTTATCAATGAAGACAGGTTTTGAATCCATAATTGGGACAATGTGAACTCAGAAAACCATTTCATATTTGAGTTACTATGTAATGCTTAGGGAAAAAAATCACCTCCTCTAAATGGGAAATGATAATGCTTTTGCTGGATTGTTTATTTTTCTAAAATGTTTTGAAATTGTTCTCTGAGTCTGGGGGATGAAGGCTAAAGAACTTGGAGATTTATGTGTATGGAAGAGAAATTTATAAGAGTTAGAAAATGTCTTTCAAGAATCTTTCCTGATCTTAGAAATAAAGATATATCATTGGGGCAGGGAAGGTGGGACTGGAGTTTTGAACTTAAGTCTTCCTATTTCATATGCAGTTACTGTATTACTCGAGCCGTGTCTCCAGCCCTTTTTGTCTTTAGTTATTTTTCAGATAGGGTCATGCACTTTTTGTCCAGGCTGGCCTTGGACCACAATCCTCCTACCTCTGCTTTCCCTAGTGGTTGGTATTACAGATATGCACCACCATGCCTGGTTTATTGTTTGAGAGATAAGGTCTTGCTAACCTTTTTGGGGGAGGGTAACGGGCCTTGGCTGGCCTCCAACCCAGATTCTCCCATCTCTGCCTCCTGTGTAAGCTGAGCATTTTGAAGGATCACTGTGGGAGTAGTATGATTAGAAGGAGGAAGAGTAGCCAGAAGGAGTGAAGAAGTCTAGTTAAGAACCTACTGTCCAGTCCAGAAAAGGAGATGGCAGTGGTTGGGTACAGGTAGGTATAAAGAGGGATTGAAAATAGAAAGAGATGACATATGCTTAGCATAGTTTTGTAGGACTTGGGTGCTACGTATGAGGGTGACAGAGGGGTGTCCGATATAACTAAAGGAAGTGTCATACATTTTTATATTCTTCTTTGTGAATTTAAAGGTTGTGATCTTAAAAACTATTGGCTGAGGCAATGGCTCAAGTGGTAATATGCTTGCCTAGTGATTGAAATGGCTGAGTTCAAACTCCAGTACTGCCAAAGAAGTTTAAATTGCACAGCTTTATTGATACACAGAGGAAGGAGAACACAATGGAAATAATTGTATGAAGAGAGACAGAAATTGTTAGAGGCCTTGAATCCATGATTGATAATGTAGATGACAGTGAGCAAAATGAAATATTTCAAATGTTTAAACAATGGAAAAGATAGTTTCAATAATTTTTTTTACCCTCCATTAAGACCAGGGGGGAATACATTTGTTAGGGTTCACTTTCAAAAGTAATAACATAACAATCTTTATTTCCACTGCCATTTTAGCCTGATTCTCCAAATCTCGAGATCTTATTGAAACTGAACCATCATTCTGTTTCTTTCCATCCTACTTTTCCCAGCCACAATATTTTCCCATGTCAGGAAAACATTCCAGTACACAAGAAGAGCCTTTAGACTGTGTACATTTGAGCCTTTGGGATCCAGCGATAACACAGTCAGCTCACAGTCAAAACCAGGTGCCCAACTTCCATCTGGACTCTTGACAAATTGTGTGGTCAAGATTTAGAAATCAGAAACCCTGGAAAGGTGCTATGTGATGGACACAACCACCTTCAGTACCTTATATGTTGTCACCATCATTTAACACGTAGTGCCGGAAATCCTGTTCTTTGCAGAAGAACTTAAAAAAACCCTTTCTAGATCTACTGGCTAATGTTTGGTTTTTTCCTTGCTAACTCCAAAGTGCAGACAGATATATATTTTTCCTTGAGTAAATTGCTAGTGACACTCCATTTTTTTCCTCTCATCCTCAACCCATTGTCCAAGGGACCCTGGACCCACCCTTCTAGACTGAAAGCTGTACCTGAATGTACAGGAGCCTACTTAGTATACTTCCCTGTTTCTATGCACTTTCTCTTTCCTTGCTGGGTTCTGAAATTCTTTCTCACATTTCAGCACCAATGTGTCCATCAGTCCATGTCTGTCTCAGTGTTCATTCCCTCTTGTCATTCCAGTAACTTCCTTGTCTATTAAGAGCTATCTTTTAAATCAAGTGATATTTTACATATTTTAGCTTAATTTTGAATTTTAAACAAAGAAGCCTATATTCAAGACACCAGAGATATAAACATGATATTAGGCCCCTTGAATGACTCAGGTGCCTCTTTTCTTCCTTCTCTTGTTTATTCATGAAATATATGTTTATTGAGTGCCTGCTCTATTCCAAACACATGGGACAGAGTTGGGAACATGCTGTATCCTAGAGGAAAAGGTAGTGAACCAACAAGCAATCACTGCTCTGTATTCTATATTCCACACCATTGTTATAGATTGGTTGTATGAGAAGAGCAGAATGTTGCAACTGTCACTTTTGTCACTGGATTCCTGATGCACCATCATCTATTAGCATCATCCATCCCCATTCCACAGGTTGTCAAGTACCCAGGTTACAATTTGGAAACGTAACAGTTTCCTGGAAAAAATATGTGGCTGGCCACTTTCATAGGACTGAAAGCAAAGATAATATTAATATTCAAACAGGATGTGCAACTGTATTCACTAAATCACACTAGTATGCACTTACCACAGAAATCACTTTCTAATACAGTATATATCACACTGAGTCAGCGAAGGTATGCACTAAGTATCCCGGATGTAAACCTCACATCAGAATGGTGGCAAAGTGATAAGCAAACGTCAGGGCATTTCCCTTTGTGCTTTACTCTAAGGATGAGTAGTTATTTTTCATCTCTGCATAGCTGTAAGCTAGAACAAGATGAATAGGTCCAAAGCTTGCCAGAAGCCATAACTCTCTATTTAGTTGACACAACCAGATTCCCAGTTTTGGCCTTTGAGAGCTTGGGAGTTGAATGAAAGATTGACTCCTTCTGACCTTTCTCCTCTGTCTTTTCTGGGCAGAATATCTCCATGCATAATGCAGTTGGTGGGACCATGACAGGGCCTGGAGCGCACCAGCTGGGCAGTACCCGGATGCCCAACCATGACACCAGCGTTGTGATTCAACAAGCCATGCCATCGCCCCAGTCCAGCTCTGTCATCACACAGGCACCTTCTACCAACCGTCAAATCGGGTAAGGAGACCTTAGCTGTTTCCGGGTTCTGGCTGCAGCTCAAGGAATGTTCTGGACTTTTTCATTATTTCTGATCCTCAGATTCATTGGTTTTCCTGGCTGGTATGATATTGTTGGGAGTTTAGAGCGATACTTTTGATGATAGAAGAGTGAAGGAGTTTCTGTTTGGTGGAAGCTGTTCTGATTCTGGGTGTTGGAAAAATCAAGTTATTCTGTGGGGTCATTACTTCAAACAAGATTTGTGAGTATGAAGATGAATGCAGGAAAATTTGTGGTGTTATGGAGACCAGAGTAGAGTGCTCAGGACAAATGCTTGGTGACAGTGGAGGGAATTTCTACCAGCCCAGCCTCCTCCCCTGCACAGTATGCCCTGTTTATCCTGCGAGCTGTTCAGCCCATTACCCATGCCACCTGTGTAGTTCCACAGTCCTCCTTCCCTTTGATCTTTTCTTTCTACTTCTCTTCCTTGTTAATATTTCCTTATCAGTTCTCCTTCCCCTCTTCATTGGTCCACAATCGTTCCTGTAGATAAAACAAAGAGAACAGGCCTCTCCCTCTCATTGATATGAAAAAACATTAATAAGACACTGAAGAAGAACGGATAGAAGCATCCTGTCATTGAATCCCAGGCACCCTGTATCATGGGATGGAGCTTGCTCTCACTTCTTGGTGTCATGTCATCGTTCCAGCTCCTTGCTGCACAGTGTGGTGGGCATTTCCCAGAAGCTTCTTAGAAATACAGAATCTCTGGCCCAGCTTCCTTATCTCCAGAGTGAGTATGGAGTTCATTATCTCCAACCTTACAAGAGAAAAGATGAAATAAAACATTTAAGAGTATATGGGTTCTTAGGAAGGAAAGGTAGTAACTTAAAGAGCTATGACACATGTATATTGCTGGATGCTGACTCTTGGCTCCTCTCTCCTCAGAATTAGCTTACTGTGGTTGATACATGCATTAGAATTCAGTTTGAATTTTCAGGTGACTCTTGGATATAATTATGTTCTAAAAAATGTAGAAGCTGCCTCAAAATTTGTCAATATGTCTTTCCCCTCTTGTTTTTAATGTAAGAATCCCAGACCAATAGGGAACACAGGGACAGTGCTGGCTTGCTCCTCCATAGAATGCTCACGAATGACTACCTTGTTTCTCACATGTCTCAGCTTATTAGGGTAGGGTGTGACACCTGAAGAAACAAGAGCCATAGTTAATGACTACTGTGTGAGTTTGCTGTGGGTACATTTGTTTTCCAATTCAAGAAACAGAAAATTAATATGGCCATTTGTATACTTGACTTTGTTTAAAGAAGCCAGTGATAATTAGCAAGTATCTCTGGCAATGATTTCTTTTCTTTTCAAGTGACTCTGAGAGTAAAATGTTGCCATTATCTAAAGCAAGAACCTATAATACACTAAGAGGGTGGGATGGATTCATTAAAGACAGCATCGAAATCTCTAGAGACTGCTAAGCCAGCTAATTATAATCATTTTATTTTTCTTTCAAGGGGAAGAAACATAAAATGTGCTAGAGTTTACTAGTAGTTTTACAGCATTCCTTCCCCCCTGGAGCTCTGCTGCCTACCCCTGTCTACCCTTACCCACTACTCTCTTGGAGGCCCTTAGTGCTCAGTTATTGTTAGTACAACTCTAGCATTCATGAAATAATCTTTTAAGGGGTAGCACTAAATTTTAAGATGAGTGTTGATTCTGTCAATTATTTACCTAGTTGGCATAGGACTATACATTTGGGTGACATTTGTGGGCTGTGTCACTCTGCCTGGGCAGATGGCTGTGTTCCTTTAATGTGACCTATTGACATACTCTCGATATGGACTCTCTCTTCCCATTCATTCTCCATCTTGGGGTGCTGAATGTCTCTCCTGGTGTGTTCTAGGAGATAATTGTCGCTTTTAGGCCTCTGTCTCATTGCCAAGCTTGAGGGAGGCTATTTCTTTCCTCCAGATTCTTCCCTGTTGTGCTTACTATGTTGATTCAAACCCACACATCCTGTCATTTTCATTTTCTCTATGTGACCCATCTAAAACCTTGCCCGGATGATCGTGGGGCTCTGCAAGAATCAGCCCAACCCATCTCACCAGTGGATTCAGTATGAAACTCTAGGTGGTAACATTTGGGGGTGGCTGGCTCTTTTATTTCTCTCAGCAAAGAGGAAATGAGTACTTATTTTAAAACATGAGTTCCCTCTGGAGACTGTGTCTTTAAATGAATATGAAATGCAGATAGCTTTTTTATTCTGTTTTGTGTGTGTGTGTGTGTGTGTGTGTGTGTGTGTGTGTGTGTGTGAGGCTGCACAGAACCATATTGTAGTAATATTCTGATTTTTATCACAACCTCAAATATTTAAGTGTCAAAATCTGGCCAAGCCACCTGCAAATGTTTGCCATGGCCACTGGCCAACAAAAACAGCAAACAGCAATGAAAGTCTTCATTCAGGCTCAGTGCTTAGGCTGCATCCAGCCAGAGAGGCTGGGACCCACCTGTGCCCACGCTTAGTGCTTTTGTGCAGCAGCCAGTGGATATGTTCACGACTAGGACTTTGTGGGACACAGGACTGCCTGGCTCCTCTCCCCCTTTCCTTCCCTTCCACCAGGGCTTGGCTTTTGCAGCCAACCCCACCTTTGCTGTCTCTTCTGTGTCCTACTTTCATGCTGCAAAACTTAGGTTAGAGGCTTGGGGGTGGCATTCATATAAAGGACTGGAAAATGGAAGTGATGCCAGTTATCAGGGAAAGCTTTGGGAAGAAAAGGTACACATCCTTCATCATTTTTGGATAGGTGCTGAGCCAGGGCAGATCAAACTGAGTGGAAATTCAAAAATGCAAAGAAATAATGTAAAAAGTAAGTAGACGAGCAACAAATTTAGCTCTACTCTGTACTGTAAGAACCCATACTATGCCCTGTGCTCAATTCTGTAAGAGTAGTGCTATTATCTCAATAGAAACTGAAGGTAAGTATAAATATCCCAAATTGCACTTGTGTGGTTAGGCAGGCCAGAAAAACACACAGCTCTAGGGAGTGTGGGAGGCATCCCTAAACTAGTGACTACTTGTGCTCAGTCAAACTGGCAGACGCTCTGTCGGGAAGAGTCTTTGGCTGATTGATGGGAGCGTTTTAGGAGATAAGTTTCCCAGATGGGAAAAAAGTGAGCCATGGGCTGTGGGGAGACAAGAGAGACAGAACGCTAGCATGTGTTAAATGGAGACGAAATCAATTCAGGCTTGAACCAAGTATGTGCCAGATCCCAAATACTATCTCTACTGTAGTCATTTTTATTAGATATCATGTAACAGCCTCATCAATTCAGAATCAAGTCAACAAAACCTGGGAAAAATGGTGAATGAGCAGGTAATGGTAGTGTAAATTCCTCTCTCTCTCTCTCTCTCTTTCATCACATGAAACATTTTCATAGGAGCCAATAATTAGTTGAGTAGATGGCTATAATCTTAATAGATCCCAGCTTTCCTAAAGAAGTCTTTGTCTCTCCATGGTGTAGATGTTGGTAGATAATTCATACTCAATAATTCTTCAGGAGATCAGTGAAGACAATATGGAGTGTGGTGCTCAAGAAGAATGGATCACAGTAAGCATTCTGACAGGTTATGGGTGGTACTGCCAAAGTATTCTACAAATTTTCTTCTTTCTTTTTAAATTCTCTGTAGGAGTAGGGCAAATACATAATTTCATTAGATTGTTGGTGAGAATAATTTGATAGTAATTGCTTACAATGGAAGTGCTATACATCTAATATCAGAAAATGCAAATGTAGAGAATTCTGCTAAGGTACTGAATTAGCCAGCTGTATCAGGAAAATTGAAATAGGTTCAACAAAATGCATCTATGAAGCCATTTATGTGTGAAACCTCTCCCTGATTTTATACAAATTCTAGTCCTGGTGTATAAATGTCTATATGATGCATACCTATTGGGCATTTGGATATAAGCCCCATTTTCGTGGGGTGGTAGTTAGGCAGTACAGATCTAATACTTAGCTGAAACTTCTATGAAATATACAAACTATTGTGGAAGCAAATCTTGTTTCATGTAAAAACAAAAAGTTGCTATTACTCATCATAAATCCTACCTCCTGTCACTCCATCTGTGCTTCTTTACCTCTTTCTCTTTGCAATCTCGGACACGGTGTGTCATGCAGAATATCTGATATAGCTCCATGGACATGACTGAGGAAAACAAACCAACCAATAAACAGAAATAAAAATCAAAATAAAAGCTTATTACATCTGAAGACTAAAGGTGAAGAGAGTCCTGAGGCTTTGTTGTGTGAGTTGGTATTGTTGTCCAAAGTGCCATCAAGATGGGAATGTTAACTGGTTTGAGCAGTTTGTGTCATTGTTGCACTGGACAAAAATATAAGGAGAGAGGTCAGTAAGTGATGCATTCACAGAAAGGCAATTTAAAGATCTAAATAACAAAGCATCTTACAGCTTAAGAATATCCTTGTTCTGTAGATGCCTATGTGTATAATTCTATTCTTAAGTGTTTTCCTAAATGTCTCAACACACTAAGCATGACTAACACCATCACTGTCCACTCGAGGCTCATGCTGGGGACATCCAGACCAGCTCTTTCCTGAGGGAAGCAGTGGGGGCAGGTCTCAGCTTGTCATTGCCCCTCAGCCCTTAACCAGGACAACTTAAATCTCCCCTTGAGTAATTCAGACCAGAAGCCATTATTTCTTGCTTTGTGTTTTGCTGAATATCACAGCTATGAACATAGCTTTATTGTTAGAGAGCTGCTGGATCTTTCACAGCCCTGAGAACATTTATGAGGGCCCTTCAGGGGGATGCTTTCTGGGAGGGTTGACAGACTTAGCCATATGGCTCCTGTTAAATCCCACGCAGAGCCCTGAGAAATTGCCTCTGACAAGGGGGCCAGCAGCCTTCTCCTCCCAGGGTTTTATGTGTGGAACGAAACATTAAGCACCGATACTTGAGGAAATATAATGTTCCTCAGCATTCGAAAGTT